ATATTTTTAGATGAAATATAATTTTCATAGTAAAGATCACTTTTGTTAAACAATGATAAAAAGTATTTTAAAAATTTTATTAATAATTGAGAAATTTTATCACATATTTATTATACGAAAAACATTGTACTAAAATTGAAAAAAATTATTGAATTTATAGAAATAGTAGTTATTTATAATAATAGTAAATAATTATAGTATTGTTAGAATCATGTTTACGTCAAACAATTTATTTTTATTATCATTTTTTATGTTGACATTATTTAATTTATTAGTAACTGGTAATCGACAATATGACAAATACAGGAACAAATATCCGGGTAATTATATTATATAATAGTTATTTAACAAATATTTCAAATATATATATACAGTATAAGTTACTATATATTTTAAGTATTATTGCTTATTGACATATATATTGTATATTATATTTGTAAATAACTTTATATTATAGCTGTTATTAATTTCTTAAAGAAATTACAACTAAAAATATATTTTAGTATTTTATTTTTAAAATAATATTAATAGTCGGAATTAGAAAAATAACATAGAATTATATTTTTAAATTTTATTATTACTACTAAATTACTTTATTATATAATATATATTTATTAATATGACCAAGGTACAAAACGACAACGTATGGACAGTATCAATGATAATTTACTACCATCATCAAATACATTCAAATTGAAACGTGGTCCCGATGATATTATTATTAATGACATTGATGATAATGATTATAATGATTATAATGGCCAACAATCTGCTACAATATTTAGTTTATTTCCCCCAAACAATAATGGAGGTGACTGTCCATTTTGTGGTACTGCCAAACCCATACTACAGAGCATAATTGATTGGTTAATTGATTTGGTAGATAAATATCCTACTATTAAAACCATATTACAAACCATTTATGATATTTACAAAAATTTCTTTGGTGATCCTACATTTTCTACATTGTTTAAATAAATTTACAAATTTTTATATTTTTATATATCTATAACTTTAAACAAATGATTGTTTTAAAAATTTTTTTTTAAATCATTTATTTATAAAAAATAATAGTAATAAAATAGAATTTATTAATTTATTATAACTTATATAAGTTTTGGATTTGAAAATTTTATAATTATTAAATAAATATTAGATTTTTAAAAAAATGCTAATTGTTAAAAATTTTAATATATATTTATTATTAATTTATTGAAAAAATCTGCTATTATTTATGCTAAAAATTAATACTAATTAAATATAAAGTAATGTTACTTTATTATAACTACTACAATATGAATTAGATAAATAATAGCAAACTAAAAAAATATTTATATAGTTATATTAAATAGTAATTATTAATAAAATGTAATATGTAATAATAATTTTTTTATTAACTTATTGTATAATATATTTTAATATAATATATTTTTGTTTTATATTTTTATAAGTTTAAATCAAACTTTTTAGTAAATGTTCATTATTTATAAATGTATTTTTTCTGTTTAACTTTTGTAGTCTAAGTTAATAATATAAGGCCTCTAAAAATAAATTAACAAAATATATATTTTGTTAAAAAAATATTTTATCAAAACAATAGACTTTATATAATACGTGTAACTTTACAACAAAAACACCTGTAATTAGTATATCTAATAAAATAAATATTTTATTATTGTTTAAATATAAATAATAATATTTTTAGTTATTTATATATATATATATATTTAATAACTATTTTATATATACAAGTTGTTAATTAAGTTAGTAGTTAATTATATTAAAGTTTTAAAGTTTTTATTTACAGTACTTTCTTTAGTTATTTTTTTAAACAAAAATGTTAAGATTTAATAAAAACATTATTGTTTTACTTTTTATTATTGTAATAATTATTACTATAATGTTTGAGACAATTTCAATGAAGTCAGACAACAACAACAACAACATTGATGATAGTATAGGAACGTGTGATCCGGAAGACAAACTATGCCAATCATCATCAGCGGCACAGGAAGCAAAAAAATCTAACAGTGCTCAACAAAAATCAAGTATAGTTTAATTTAGTAATCAAAAAAAATAGATAGATTAAACTTATATTTATATATTGTATTTTATAGAAAAATCACGTAAATCGGATACCGGAGCCAACAGTCCTACCAAACGTAAATCACGTAAGACTGTTGTTGTTGATGAGGATGACATGGATAGGGATGACCTAAAACGGCCGGGTATTAAATATGAGCCCAGTTTCTTTCATAAAATACTATTACAAGTAAGAGACTGGTTCTCTGGTATACCAATGATCAAAATGGCTATTGAAATGGCTATGGGATGGCTGCTTACCAGTGGGTATATATAAATTATATGATAATTTTTTATAAAAAATAATATATGTATTAGTATTAATATATAGTTAGATAATATAAATGATGCAAATATTTTTTTTTGTGTTTAACATACAGTTATATATATTTATATTATCAAACTTTAAATTAATAACATTTAAACTATATAAAAATTTTTATAAATAAACTAAAATTATATAATTCTACACTCAATTGTATACACAAATATTTGTATTGATAAACTTTAATTTGCAAATTGTCATTTTACTAATACTTATTGTTTAAATAATAAATTAAAAATAATTTATAAAAATTTATATAAATTATATCATAAATTATATTTAAAACAATTTTTAATTTGTTTATTTAAAATTCTTTGAAAATTATTTAATTTAATAAAGTTACTGAATAACAATTATAATTATTTAAGTCAAAATAAATAATTATTATCAAAATTTCATCAAAGTTAAACTAGAAAATATTATAACTATATTTATCATCACATGTATAGCATTAGTATAGTTATTAAATATATTAATATTTATTTGAAAATATATGTATTAATAAAGTATATGAATCATATTAATTATGCTTTTATATACTGTATATAATTTTTCTTTTATCAATATTAAATCAATAGCTTATCAATATGTCACAAATTTTTTTATTATAAATATTAAATTAATATTATTGAGTTTAATAACATGCAAATCCTTGAAATTTATATAAGTAAATATACTGTATATATTAGCCAAACCCATTTGATAACAATTTTTTTTGTTATACATTACTAAGACATACATAATTTCAATATTAGTTGTTTGTTTTAAATAGACAAAAGTATATTAATGTATTATTTAAAAAATCATATTTTTTTGGTTTAGATATACAATAAATAAATATATAAATATTATGATATTCTGATAACTATTATATAAAAAAAATAAATTGAAATTTATAATATTAATCGTATGATTTCTATAAGATCTATTATAAACCAATCAATCATCAATGATAACTAAGTTATAATTATGTAGTATATTAATCATTGACATTTAATTTTCAATAAAAAAAATTATAGATTAGTATTAATACATTTTAAACAGGGTACTACCCATAAAATAGATAGATAATAGATTAAAAAGGTTAATCCCCTAATAAAACGAGTATTAGTTATTAGTAAATATAATAAAGTATTATTATTATAGACTATGAATTTTTTAATAATATAAAAATGTATATAATATTTGTTTGGTTACTATTAATATTTAAAAGTCATTTAATCTTATTTAATATTTTATGTTTAAAACTATGGAAAAAATTTTGATTAAAATTATTTCTAAAAACATTTTATTATTATTCAATAACTATTATTATTAGTATTTTTTATAGAATTTTCAGTAATTTCTATTATTTCTAATATATTTGATATTAAATTTATGGATTAATTATAAAAATATCTGGTATTGACTGATATAATTGGCTCATATTATTATTATTTAAAATGATAAAAATTTATTGGCCATTTATCAGATTTTTACTTAATTTTGTGTTATTGAATGCCAATAACAAAAAAAAAACAATTGTTTGTGACAATAGACTGAGTAAAAGAAAACTATTTGTTTGTATCAAATCTATACCAAAAAATAATTATCAATCATTAGATGTGATAATTTCTACAATATTTTTTGAATACATTTCTGAATAGAACCGTTAGTTTTTTATGATAATAAATATTTTTATAGACTTTTATAGACTTTTATTTTTTACTTATTATTATTATTTTTTATCATTTTTTAATTCAAATATTTTACCTATCAATCAGTTTGATCAACACTTCAATATCTATTCAATTATATTTTTTTTGGAAATTAATTTCAAATAATCAATCAATAAAATTGTAAGTAATAGAATATTCTGTATATATATATATATACACTAACGGCATCTAGTTTTAGATAATTGTTTTAATATATTTTATTTATTTTACAATAATGTAGAATATTTTTTCTATCTTAATTTATAACATTATTTTCATGTTTTAATATAATAAACTAAATAACAGATATATATTTAATTTTCATTATCTTATATTAATGACTATTTATTTCTAAGTTAATATCTAGTACTGTATGTAAACAGTATAACTAATACTAATACATTGTAGTTTTATTTTTTAACAAAATTAGTGATATTTATTTTATAGTTTATTATCAATATCTAAACAAAAAAACTGTGATAGATATATCAAATTTAGTATTTATTACAACTATTTTTGATTGATATTGTTATAAAATGATTAATTTATTAAAAAAACTTAAAAATTAATTACTTTTTTTACAGTAATAATAACAGCTTAGATATTAATTACAATAATAACAACAACAAAATCTAATTATAATACATTATGAAATATTACTCAACAAATAATATAAAACTTAAAAATTATACACATACACTTATAATATTTAATTAAATATATCTATAAAATGGCGATTTTTTAATTAAATAAAACAAATTATATATTACACAATAAATGTTAATTGTAAAAAATGAATCTACAATTATTACTTACTAATACTATTACTACTAATAGTATTAAAATATACATATAAATACAAAAATAATAATCTATTAAATATATTTTAACTAATAAAATTCAGATTTTATTGAATTATTATGTTTTATTATACAATTTTTAAGAGATATATATATATATTAATAACAATAATTTTGATTTAAAAAACTTTTATTTAAATATATTATATTAAAAAACTATAAACTAGCCATAGAAGGGGACACCATAACCACCTGCCAGTGCCGCTTGTTGTTGTTGTTGCTGTTGTTGCTAATAGTAATAATGATAATAATAAAAATAAGCAAAAAACAAATTAATTAACAATTAATAGTTAAATAAATTTATAAACAATTAGAATATAATTAATGGACACAATAAATAAGGATACTATTAAAAAAATAATTTTTAAATTATTCAACAATTAAGCTATAATATATATGTATATATATGTATATAGATAATTGTTGGATACTTGTGCCCATTAATATATTCTATATATATATATACTGTACCTGTTGTGCACCAAAACCGCCTAAACCATAACCACCGAAACCGGCGGCCTGTTGTTGTTGTTGCTGTTGTTGTTGAGCACCGAAACCACCGCCAAAGCCGTATGCCGGTACTACTGCCGGATAGCCGACTGGATAAGCTGGATAACCACCGTACCATGGGGCAGCAGTGGCCATACCAATAAGTGCCAGAGCGACAACAATCATGAATTTCATATTTAGTTTTTTTTATTAAAAAAAAGTTTGATTTAATTTTAAAAAAATTTAGTTAATGCAGTAGAAACTGATGGCTAGGGTTGGATCAAATTGTGGTCAACTTATATACCCTTCTATTGACAGGAAATGTAATGCAATACCGTTTGTTATTATTGAGATACAACCGGTTATATATATAGTTAGAGTTTGGGCAACTTTCCTATGAATGGAAGTTTCCTAATAAAATCTCTCCAATTTTCCTGGAAAATTGTATATTCTATATCCATAGACCATTAGAAAGTAAAATATATACTATTTAACAATCAAAATACAGTTTAATACAATATTTGGTATTCAAATTTTGTAATATAATTCGTTGTTTAGGCTTCAATAGATGGTAGTTAAAGGAAATATATTCCCTGGGAATTCCCAGTAAAAAAGGAACTTTTGAAATATAAGACGAAAGTAAGGAATTTGCCCAAACCCTAGGTATACAAATATAATAGTAGATATACTGTAGATTTAGATTTATATATATATAAATATATATATATATATACCCCAGATGTTAACCAATTTTTATAAATTATTTTTGCTATTGACGTTAATAAGCAATTAATTAATTTAATACTTAATAATTCTAGAATATTGTAGTTATTTAAAAAAAATTATGTGCTTATAGTTAAAAAAAATTTAATTATAATTTTTCAATGAATATTTCGAAACCAATTTTAATAGTTACAGTTAGTTGTCAACACTATTGATATTAATTAAATTAAGAAATAAATTTATATAATATAAATACTTTTAACTTATTTTTTTCTAGAAATATCTAAAATCATATTATATATATTATATTGTTAGCTTAAATTTATAATTATTACTCTTAATGTTTTATTTAAAGCTAAAATTATAGATATAAATGTTATATATAAAAAAGGCAATTTATAATCTAAATAATTTTTGTAAACACAAAATAATTACTATATATTTTTATTTTTCAATACTTTATAAATTATTTTAAAAATAATTAAAAACATTAAAAGTTTATTAATTGCAAAAATTATTAGAAGATTATTAGAAGATCGTTAAAAGAGTATTAGACAGTATAATAACATTGAATCTATTGAATATTACAATATATAAATTTTTAATATTTTTTAGAAAAAATTAAAACGGCTTAGATTTACTTATTACTTAATAACAATTAAACTAATTTTATTAATAAACAAATATTATCAAAAAGTTATAGTAGTATTACAAACATGTTTTTTAATGAATTAAATATTTTTAAAGATATTTTTTTAATTACTAATAAAAGGCCAAACTTGTTGTAATCTCAATATATATTATTTATTTCATTTTATAATAACTGAAATTAAATGCAAATAAGTTTTATTTGTTTTTATCATTTAAATGAAACATCAATATTTGAACATGCACATATTGTATGTACAGTATAATAGCTAACATTAAATACTATAATAAATTATTTAGTCTACTATAAAAATACTATACTATTCAATTAGTAAATAGTATAACTTAAATATAAAAAATCTATCATAAACATTTAAAAAACTACTTAATGTTATACTATTTTGTAAAATAACAATAATCTTAACATTAAAGTTAAACGAAAAAACTTTACTTTTTATACAATGTTTAAACATAAGAGAAAAAATATGTTAACATATTTAATTAACTTTTAATTTACTTCATACATACATTAATTCATACAAATATATAAAGTTTATATATATATACAGTATAAATTAGTATAATTAAATATATAATTAAATACATGTACTATATCTGTATTTATAAAGTAATAAAAATGTATTTAGTAAGCATTTATAATTTTTCTAGTCAAAATTGTTTAATTGCAAATATAGTTAAATTTATCAAATTAATTAAAATAAATATATTATTTTTTTACAAATTAGTAAATTTTATAGTTATTTATTTATTTATTTATATTGATATACTAAATAAAATGTTATTTATTAGCATTAGACTTATTCTGTTAACGACAATATGGTAAAAATGTTTTATAGTCCTAAATAATTATTATCTATTGTTAATTATATTAAATAAATTTTTATTAATAAAATTTCATATATGAAAACTAGATTTTAAATAATGTTTTAATTTATAGCATATAGATAACATATTTTTATTAGTAAAAATATATTAAACTAATATATTAAAGACTTTTTTAATTATATATATATTTATATATTGTTAACTTTATAGATTATTTGCAAAAATTGTATTGTTAGATAACAATAAAAAAAATTTAAGCTATTGTGTTGTTTATTATTATTATATTGACAAACAACTATAACATATAAATATATATAAACCACATTCATTGCCAACTATTTAATGCCAAAAAATCATTAATAAATTTTTATAATATACTGTATATAAAGTTTATATATATATTTATGGTATATTTACAATAATCTAACTCGTTAGCTATACAAATATTTTATTATTATTATAAATATAATGTAATGTATACTCTATTATTAATGTTAATTAGAAAATACTGTAGAAAAAACAATATAATTTAATACTAATATTAATAATTATATTTAAATTTTTCTCTGAAATTTGCTGATAATACAACTATATAATAATATTTGTTTAATAAACTATAATTATTTTGTAGTAATAAAAAACAAATATTTTATATTATTATTATTAATTTATAATAATTACTATTGATTATTTACTATATTTTTAATCAAAAATAATTTTGAATTATTTATTATAATGTTTAAAATATATGAATTTTATTTAAATAATATTAACTAAGTTTATAATAAAATTAATGTTGTTATTGATTAATAATTAATTTAAAACTCAAAAAGTATAAAATAGAAATTTACTTGAAATGCAAAAATATTAATTTAATAATTACATAGAAAAATGTTATCATTTGAAAACACATTAGTTTAAAAAATTGTTTATTAATATATTAAAATATTAATATGCCTATTGAATTATCACAAATAAATGATTATTTTTGAATATAATTACAATAATAAACAATTGATAAGTTGCTTTTATTTTAAGTTAATAAAACATTATTTTTATTTTACTTATTAATTAATTATATATTATTTATTATTGTATCATTATAAAGTCATTTATTTTATTAATTAATACTTAAGTTAAAATTATTGATTGTTAATTGTAATCAATAAAAATTGTTAGTTTTTATTTATAAAATTCTGTGATAAATTATGTTTTTAAAACTTTCAATACTATATTTTAATTCAAAATAACGTCAAATAAATAAATTATAATTTCATTTTAGATTTTATTTTTACAATTTATAAGTGTATATACTGTATATATAACTAAAAAAATACTTAAATTTATACAGTAAATATAAATATTTTTTAAACCGTATAAATTTATTAGTAATATGATATCGTATACCAACGGGAATAAATTACTTAAATTACAAAAAAATTTAAAAACATTTCATATTCATACATAATTAGTGTATGTAATAATCATATTAATTATTAACAATTTTAAATTTAAGTTTTTTGTCAAAGCTTTTGTTTTTTTAAATAATTTAAGTCAAAACTAATCAAAAATGCTAATCAAGTGATGACAGCCTCAAGTAATGGAATATTTAATTGTGTTGAGAATATTCATGAAAATACTCATATAATACACTTAACTTGTATTTTATTATTATTATTATTATTATTATTATTATTATTATTATTATTATTAGGTTCATTGAATTCATAGATTACTATTTCTCGCCCTTTATTTAATATATATATATCTTTATCTTTCATATAATCAATCTATTATTTTTGTTTGTATAATAAATTTACTTACATTTACATAATTTTCAAGCAATGACCCTAAAATATCTTTTCATCTCAAACAGTATCTATCATCAGTGCGTTGCACTCATATATGTATATAAATTTATATATATATAAGAAAATACTTATATATATATACATAAAACTAAAGTTTGTGAAAATTATTTTTAGCCCTAAAGCGGATAATACACAAACACTTGTGGTGTTGTATTTCAAACAATAAACTGTATACTAAAAACATTATATATGTATAGTATATACTTTACTTACATAAGTGTTAATCCATTTAAATTCATGAAAATTATTATTAATTATTATATAAATCACTTATTTTTTGTTCATTTGATTATATAACAGCAATAATATTAATACTGTTTATAACTTATTATATTGTTTTGTAAATGTATATAATATTACATGTTATACTTAATATAAGGATATTAAATAATAAAGTAATATACTGTACAATACTATACTATAGTAAATTATCTAATATTAATATTAAATCAATAGATAGTTGACGTCATGTATGATATTTTGGCAAATATTAATATACTTTATATATAGTATTAAAATATAACAACAAATAGTTAAGTTTGTTTATTATATGACAAATAATATTTAAAAACAATAATATTTTTTAAATTTGAAAACTATTTATAAAAACTATATAATTAGTAATTTCTATATAATAATCTACTATAATATTTAATAGTGTATTTGTGGTAAACATATTTTTGTTTTTCTTTAAACTAAATTTATTTTGAATTTATTTTAAATGTTTAAAATTTAAATACACTAACAAATATACTGTACTTAATTTAAATATATCTATACAGTATATAATTAAACTGCATATACATTGTTTCTACTGTATTAAATGATTTATTCAAAAATAAGTGTGAAATACATTTATAAATATACTTTATATATATGAATATGTTTATTATTGTTATTAAGTAACACTAATTGTTTATTATTTTTAATAAACCAATGCATTAGTATTTAAATGGAAATTGTAATAATTTTAAAACATTATTAAATAAATAAATCTTTATTTATTAATAAATATTTACAAAAATCTTAAAATTTTTTATTTATAACAACTAATGTATAACTAATATACTTTACTTTACTACTAGTATATTAAATAAATATAAAACTTTAATATAATAATGGTTATCATATAATAGTTATTTAATATAATAATGATTTTAATATTTATTATTAAAGTATTTTTAAAATAAATACTTATATTTTTCCAAATGTTAATAAATAATAGTTTATAATAAATGTTTTTTAATGAATAAATGTAATTTTATTTGCTTATAATCAAGCAATTACATTAGTAATATAAATACGGTATATCTCTATTAATAAATTGCTTTACAAAATAAAAAAAATTTACTTTCTAATTATAGTAATTGTTAATAAACTAATTGTTATTTTGAAATTAATAATCACTAAAAAAATAAAAGCTAACTTTTTATTTATTATTTATACAGTTGTTATTTATGATAAAAAAAATAATTTTTTAATTCACAATTAATTTTTATTTTTCTTGATTATTATTATTGTATTAATAAATGTTATAATTGATAAGTTATATAAATTATATTGAATATATTTTATTTATGACGTAATATATTGCTCATATAATATATTAAATTTTATTAAATTGATGTAAAGTTTACTTAATTATTTATACAAAAATATGTTTAGTTTATTTACGAATAAACTAATACTAAATTTTGTTAAAAAATGTTAATCTTTTATTTCATAGAAAATTATATACTTTTTTATTACTTTATTTAGTTGATTTTATTTCACAATGTATTACAAAATAAGTATTTATATAGAGTTTGTATTTAAAAAACATTTTACACTTAAATTAATTTATATAAAACATTATAAATAAAATCCCTATTAATTAGCATTTAATATTTTTTCATTTTTTATATATCTATTTTCTCAATTTTGCTTACTTATAATACAGTTATGCATTGTGTTAATGTATATTGATTTTAGGATAAATGTAAATTCATTCAATAGTTTATCTATTTTAAGTGCACAAATTGCACAATATTTAGATAATTGGTATTTTATTTTTAGTAAAAGTAACAAATAGTAAAGCTGTTTTTATTTGTTGTGAATTTTTTATGATAATTGAAATTAATATCTTGTTATTTAATATTATCAAATATTGTTAATAAGATGATTACAATATAGAAAATAAATTATTATCTTCAATAATTTAGAATTAAAATATAAACTCAATCTAATAATTATATATAAAAATACTAATTAAATGTCTAAAATTTCGTTTGAAATACCTGTCAAAATACTGTACAAGTTTTGAATAAATTAATAGTAATTTTTGTTTTTGTTTATTAAATAGTTGCCTTATAAATAAAAATAAATTTAACATTTAATTTTAACTATTATTTATTTAAAAATTATATTCTAAATATTTTATCAAAAAAAATATTAAGTAAATTTATTATGTATATTTACTATTATAATTATTTAATGTAATATTATGAATGCTAAATTTATTATATAGTCTCTATTTATATATTATATGAAAAATACATTAAATAATAATGCAAATATAGATATTTATATTTATCCAGATTAATTTGTTAGACTTTTATTGCCATCAGATATTGTATATTAAAAATAAAATTAAAAAATAGTCTCTTGGGTTAAAATAGGCAATTCATCGCTCAGTTATACAATCTATAGCTTATAAGATAAATAAATCTTATTTTAAAATAAGATTTATATATAATAAATATATATATTGTTTATTTGTCTGTCTGTCTGGTTATATGTTTTGTATGTGTTTTATAGATAGATCTATTGAATTGGGAAATATTGAATTGAATTGAACAATAAAAGTATACCTGTATATCAATAGATATCAATATAAAGTATATGTGAAATACACGCACATATAATAATAAATTTAAAAAACTTTATTTATTTTTTCAATTTAGACCTATACATTTTATTTATTTTTGTATATATATATATATATATAACATAGACTTTATATACAATATATATATTATATATTATATATCCGATTTAAGATTTCAATAAATCCAATATAAAATTTCTATTGATGAAAGTAATCTAGTAAATTGATTTATAAATTTTATTTTTCATTATTATTTTTAATAATTTTTTATTTGAAAATCATATTATATAATAAAAAATAGGTTATAATTTTATATCAGTATAATAATAATACCTTATTATGTTAACATTTTTACTTATTTAATAAAAAATTTAAATACTTTTAAATATTTTCTTTTAAAAAATAATAATTTTGTTAGTCTAATGTTATTGTTATGTTAATTTATGAAATAGTTTGCACAATAAACCAATTTTAAAATCTTTTATTTCATATAAATAATTTTATTTTAAATACTAGTAATATTACATAATTAATAATATATCAATTTTTTAATACTATTATAATATAAATAAAGCCATTATTACACTTGTTGTTTAAAATTGACTTAATCAATCTACAATATTAAATATAATTGATTTAATATATATATAAATAAATAATGCTATTTATATTTAATAATAACTTAAAATAACAAATCAATGGACACAATCCTAGTGCACAAATGCACACAAATCTAAAACTATTAATATATTAAAAATAATTCAATTATATTATCTTCCAAACAATGTTCATAATAAAGTAATATAAATACACATATTATGTTATAATAATAACTGAAAACTGATACTTAAATAGACAATTATATATATATATATATCTTAATTAGTTTAGTATTACTTATAGTATCATCAACAACAAAAAATAACATTAATACATTTTTAACAATGGGTTATAAACTGCAAATATACAGTATATTATATGTATATTATATATATTTGATTAAACAATACTAATAATACTATTAGCTTCATAATTATTGACTTTAGGCATCCAAAACTGCTTATCCATTGACTCTAACTTATTATTATTATGACAATTATTATTATTATTATTAGTTATATTCTGATGATTTTGGACTACTATATGATTAGTCTGTATAATCATATTATTATTATTATTATTATTATTATTTTCTTTAGTAGTATTATTTTTTTGAAATAAAATATCAGTATTTCTATTTAATTGTGTGCCTATAGGTGTTGTAGTAGATTGTAGTGGTAGTGGTGGTGATACCGATGCCATAGTTGTATGATGTGATTGTTGTTGTTTTCCGGCAATCATTTGTGAACCACATTTGATTTGCGTGAATAACAATAGTTTTTGTGCCCCTTCTCTAAACGTGTTGTCTCTCCAGCAATAGATAAACGGATTGTAACTAAGTATACAATTTGTTAATACAAATATCAAATATTATGTTTTTTATTTTAATAATAGTTTCGATTAAACTATATATAGAATATAATTGTAAATTGATAACAATATTATGTTATTTTATAGATAATTATAATTATATATTATAAATAGATAAAAATTTATTTTTATAATATATATATATATATATTCAGCATCAATAGGTACTATAAATTTGTGTTTGTTTTTGTCAAATTGTTTGTCAAAAATATTAACAATATACCTAAATATAGAGAAAATCTCATGTGACATAAAGTTAAAAGACTTTATTTAATTAAATAGCTTTTATTTTATGGAAAATTAATGTTATATTTAATTCTCTTATTGTATATCAAAAAATACTAAACAATTTTAAGTATTGTTTGAATACTACATAAAAATCAATTACATTTGATTACTTGAAAAAAATAGTACAGTATTTTACAGAATATTTGTTTTTTATTTGTTTGTTTGTGCTATTAATTTAATATATTATATAAAAACAATAAATTGTTTGATTTCTATGATATATTATAGTTCAATAAATTACTTTAAGATAAATGATTAATTATTTATTATCTTTATTTACTGTATATATATATATTACCCAATAACATTGTAAATCAATTTATTTAACCTTCATTAAATTATTATGTCAACTTTATATATATACTTGTATTTAATATGTACAATTTATATATATTGGGATTATATAGTATTTGGCACATTAGTTGTTTGCTTATTTGATGCAAACTTTAATAATATAGTGGTTTTTATCTAATTTTTTTTTGTTTTTTTCATAATAAAGTTTTTTTTAAACATTTAGACAGTGTGTCTGTCTATATGAGTAAAATGTTTGTGTGTGAAAATCACTATTTATTAGTCAATCAGTTTGTTCATTGACATATTGATTTAAAAATATACTGGTGTACCGGTACATGTATATATTGTATATTATACTGTATAAATCTAACATCAATGTTAGAAACGGTAGCTTTAGATAACAGTGCTATAACTACTAGTACTACTACTACTACTATTATATATTATACTGTATAGAGAGCATCATGATTATCAGATAAGATAAGCTAGTAAACTAAATCAACTAAAAGTGACATAGACATTTTAATAAAAATATTTATTTATTTTTTATTATAGATTGTTGTATATATATATATATATATATATATATAATATTTATATATTGTATATCTATAAGTAATAAATAAAGAATAAATTCACTACAATAGGCAATAATATAAGTTTAAAAAATAAAATTTTGTTATAAGATTTTTGTACCCAATTTTTTACGTCTAAAAACACTTATTGTTATCTATTTTATGTTATTTTTGATGATGACATTTAGTTATCATAAGCTATTAGTTTTGCTTAAACCTAGAAATGTTATATAAAAATAACTACAGTATAACAAAATAAAAACTACATTGGTTGAAACAGTAGAAAATTAGAAATTTTATGTGTCAATACTATCAAAAAAACAAAAAATGTAAGTCAATGGGAAATATTTTATATATTTATTAAATATTACTAAGATATACTGTATTTACTTAAGTAAACTGCATAATATAATTTATATCTTTATATAATAACTAATTGATTTATATAAAAAAATCCAATATATAATAATAAATACTTTTTGAATGTATGTTTAGTAAATTGTGAAATATATTACTATAAAAATATTTTATCTAAAGCAAAATAAAAATTATATTTGACATCAAACTGACAATAAACAGTATATAATATTATATAATAGAAGTATTATTTTTATTAATAAAATAAATCTATTTTGTTTAAATAAATATAATAATATACTGTATATCAATATTATATTAAAATAAAATTTTTTTTATGAATTTTGATAAAACTTACCAAACGCTGGACATTGCAAACCAATGACACTATTATTTACAACGAAAACAAAAAATACAATAATATTAATATAATATTTCATGAATAAAATAATTTATTTCATAAATATTAATATATGATCTTTTATTCTTTAAAAGTATATAATATATCATATACTGGTATATATATATATATATATATAATAATAATAAATTATATACAAAGACAATAAAACTAAAATATTTGAATAAAGTTAGCAATAAATATTTATATTTTACATATTATTTTATTTCTTAAAAATTCATATAATGTAAATAAATAATTTTTTTTGGGCTATGTTTTATAATTTTACATTTGTAATACTTGTAAAAGTAAATAAAATAAAATATTTTAAACATTGAGAAAATCAGATTTATAAAGTTAAGCAATTTTTTTTTGTAAAAATGATTAATTATTATTGTTTACTAACTACTTAATAAATAACTAATTTACATTAACTAAATATTATTTATTAGTTTTATTAAATATATATAATCACAAAATTTAAGTTTAAACACTATCTTTACAACTAGTATTTAAATAATAATATTTAAAATACAAAATAATTTTTTAAAATATTAAAAGTTTAATATAATTTTATTAAATGAATATATTTATTTTTGTGATAATTAGCTATAATTTATAACAACAATAGTGAAAATATTTAATTAAAACAACTATTAATAAATAATATCATTAACATTAAAAGTACTATAATTATCATATAAATATAAACATAAATAATTTAATTGAATTAAATTTAAATTTATAAATCACATTTACGCCTACAATGAAAAATTATATTAATTTATAATACTATATAATAACAGTATTTATTAATATTTATCATATAATTTAATAATATAATAAATAAATTATCTGTATATCTACTGTATATTTGTTTATCATCTTATATAAATTGTAGAGAATTATATTATTATTCAAAAATAGTATTACAGTTTGCAAACGAGTCAATCAATTGTGAATAATAATAATGTGAGAGAGAGAGAGAAAGAAAGAAAAAAAGAGAGAGAGAGAGTTGTTTGCAGACATAGTTTTTTACTATTATATTAAACATTTAAACAAATTTATTTTTTCAATTAATTTTTTTGCTCTAGAGATTTACTAAAGATTTTATGGCTAGAAATTTATTGTTAAATAAGTTAACTAATTATTTATATAGAAAAATAATAATCAATATATTCTATAATATAGTATAGAATTTATTACTAAATAATATTATGTATATAAAGTGTAGTGTAATATAATATAAATGTATACATAAAGCCTAAATTAAATATTAATATTCCTATACAATATAAGTAATTGTGTATTAATAAATTTAAATTAGTCAACAACGTTTTTTTTTAATATAACATTAAGTTATAGACGGATATTACACTATAATACATATAACAGACAGTTAGATAACAGTATATTATACTCTTGTGTACATTAAAACTAAGTCAATGAAATTTATATGATATAATACATAACATAGTTTTAATATAATAACATTATTTGTATTTTATGTAAACAGTTGTAAAAATTTTCATTATTATTAGTTCAAAAATTTTTTAAAAAGTATACATTAGTAGGTGTACTAAAAGATAGAATTTATTGTAAAATATTTAATTTATATTTTAAGTTTACTTTATATTTTTTGAATGAATATATAATTTTACAAACAAGATCTATAAAAAATTTATTAAATATTTATATATTAATGTTAAGAAATATAAAATTTATAAAAATATGAATAACAATTTTCTGCATAAATTAATTTATAAATATTTGATTTGTATTAGTAATACAGTAAACAAGTAAATTAAATTATTATATTTTATATTTTATATTTTATTAATATTTTTTTCAGTTTAAAATCTCAAAAGTTAATGATTTATTTATATATATATAATAAATTTTTTATAAGTATATGTATACCCGTATATATATGTATTTTTTTTATTGCATTCAAACAAACTTAAATGAAATTAAAGCAAATCTTAAGAAATCTCAAATGTTGTTAAAAACAAACACTAATTGATTGAATAAATAAGAGATAGTTTTTTATGTGTTTAATATTTGACTTCATTAGTAGACTTAGTCTATCTCTCTCTCTCTCTCTCTCTCTCTCTCTCTCTCTCTCTCTCTCTCTCTCTCTCTCTCTCTTTCTCTCTCTTTCTCTAATCTACTCTACTCTACTCTACACTAGTATTATAATTATGTTTAAGATAGTTAATGATATCTACTTTATAATGAAGTAGAAAAACATTTCTAAATTATTTAGTTTAAATAGAATTTTTAATTAATCTGAATATAATATATAATTACAATATAATATTTATATATAAATTTTTTCAATAATAAAAAACTTTAGTATTTAAATATATATTATTCGATATTTAAGCAAATTATCTAAAAATAATTATAAACTTATTTTTACAAAAAATAGAATACTTTATAACATTTCGATTATATTTTTGTTTGTAAATTATTTATAAACTGTTGATTAAAAAGCTTTAACTAATCTATGCTTTTAAATATAGATAAATTTTATGTTAAATTATAATCATTTACATATACTTACATTTAAATATAATTATAATAAAAATTAATTATAAAATTTAATCATATTTTATGTTTAAAATATAAAAATAATAAATACTTACAAATATGAAAACATTGAAATCGTGTTTTAATATTTTCAAATCCACAAATAGATAGTAAACATTAAGCGGAAGCCTATTTTAAAATTTAAATGAAAAATTTTTATAAACAATTATTTTCAATTGATTTTTTGTTTCTCAATAATATTTATATCAGTTTCATAATTATTTTTATTAATCATTCTAGAAATTATTACTATTAAAAACAAATATTTTCAACAATCAATATATACAGAAAATATATTTATTTTGTAAGAAAAACATGTTTAATATAATAATAACAAAATAAATTTATATTATGAATCATAAACATTACTGTATTTATTATACAGTATTATTGAAGATTAGATATATAATGTTACGCAAAAATTTATGTTTTTTTTCATTTATTATATTATATTTAGAAAAATAATTTTATATAATAAATATATTTACTTATAAATGGTATACAATATTTACAATATATGATGTAAATGTCATATTATATAATGTAGTACTGTATTTTGATAAATATAATGTAATTACAGTATTTATACTGTACTTATAAAATAAGTAATAATTTTCCTCAAATAAAAGTGTATTATTTTAATAAATAAATCTATGTATTTAAAATATATAAATTTTTAAAAATAAATAAATAATTGTTTGCAGAATAAACTTTAAAGTAATTTTAATACAAAAAAATAATCTATTAATATTTCATTAACATTAGTAAATTATATAATCTCTCATTTAAACTTTATAATAATTAAGTTATCACTAAAATATTTTTATTTAAGTCAATTTTTTATACAAATTTTATGTACTGTATTACACAATGTGTATACAGTATACTCAGTAATAAAATAATTTTATATCTGTTATTCAATGCTAATATACACTGTATATAATTTAATTTACTTGAAGCACGTTTTAACTATGATTGAAAATGTAATAATTATTAGCATTGTTGTTATTTAAATGTTTAATTAAATTATCTACTTGAAAAATAAGTAAACAAAATAACTTATATAATGTACTCTATTATAAAAATTTATATACTTAAGAGTATAATCAATAAAATCTCAAAAAATAGTCATCAATTTAATGCTTGAATTTATTCAAAAAAAAAATATTTAAATAAAATTGAAAATTATTTTTCCACTTAATAAAAATTATTGAAAATATTTAAGATATGTTAACAACAATTAAATATATATATAATTAGTATATATATGGATGTATTATACATACCAACAAACGGCAAATACAATCACAACGAGTGCTAACATTAAAATCCTACGGCGTTTGGCTTCGGCCTGCAATCGGCGCCTGACATTACAGAGGGTAATGGATACCCGTCCCTGTTTTGATACAATGGCACCAATTTTGATATACAATAATGTTGTTATTAGTAACGGTAGAAAATATTGGGTTAGAAAACATTCAACAGTTAGTGCCAAACGAAAGTGAGACCAATCAGGATATTTGGCCCGACATCTGGTCAACAGTAGGCCCTGATAGGCAACGTTGGCATCGATTTTGTTAAATATACTGTGAGGTACAGACAGTACAAACGCCAGAAGCCATATAACTATGATAAACATAAGCACCGGATGACCATTTTGTCCGCAACAACAACTGTTTTGTCGTCTAACAGTACGATTGTTATTACGGTTTTGATGTTTGTGTTTAGTCAAACTCCAGTTCCTGTGTATGGCTATCAATGCCATTGTAAATGTCGAGACATAAACACAGGAAACTTGTATGAATGGCACTAAAAAGCATAACAGTCCACCAAATGGCCAGTTAAGCAGCAATAGTCGGGCCACATTGAAAGGTATGTTTATGGCAGTCATAACAATATCAGATATGGCTAACGATGCTATCAATATGTTAGTTGTATTGCGTTTACGTTTTCTATCATTAGTAAAGGCTATCTTACAGACTAATAGATTACCGCACAATGAGATAATCATTATTAAAGAATAACTGCTTATAATTATAACGTTACGAGCGGTTAGATCTTCAGGTGCCGACATAACAGCGGCACTGCTATTATTATTTAGATGGTATCGGTTGGCCGACAATGTGGCCGATATTGTAGTGCCGATGACGGCTGTTGTTGTTGTATTTGTTGAATGAATGGATAACATTGGCAATACATGATCGGCTCCGGTAGGCATACTTGAGTTTAGACTATTCCTGATGATAGGTATAGTCATGTCGTTATCAATGATAAGCTTTGTTTCATTCATTATTTTTTATTATATATTAAACACAAATTACAAATATAGTTATTATAGTTTTTTTGTTTTAAATGTTTATTATTAGATATTATACGGAAATTAGTTTTTTCTATTTTAATAATTTTGTTCAACTAATAGATATTATGTTTTCAATTTATATATATCAGTAAATCTGAAAAAAATTAATAATAAACATATTACTGAAAAATATATTACTAAATATATAATATTGTTAATAGAAATAATTCACGATTTTTGATTTAAAAAATAATAGTAAATATTATATATTATTATTATTATTATTATATTACTATAATATAAAAATTTATAAATTAATACTAATATACTTTAATTTTATATATATTAAATTTTAGAGATTATTAATACTAAAAAAATAAAATATTAATTTTAGATTAGTATTAAAATAAATAAACTTAAATAATTATATATTTTTATTTAAATTACTAAATTGAAAAATAAGAAATAATTATTAGAAAATAGATGATAAAAAAATAAATTAGGTTAAATAATGTATTAATTTATATTATATACAGTATAAATATAAATACATATATATATAATTTAATTTATAATATTAAATTGTTTTTTTAATTTAATTAAAAAATTATAACTTACTGTACATAACAATAATATCAGAAAATCCTATTCAGTATAAATTTAGCGATGAAATAATGTAATGATATAACGTATATAATCTATAAAATACTATATAAACACTTATAGATAATAGTTTACATCAAAAATTATATATAAATATTGTATTTTCACGTAAAATACAAATCATAATTTAGTCACACATTTAATCAATAATGTATATTCATAGCAATCAGTTTATAGTATAGTATATTACTTATAAATAAATTACACAATCAAATAAACACAATATTTAATATAAACTTATATATAATAATATAGAAAAAATTGATTGAATATTATTAATAATTTATTTTTTTATATTAATCGTCAAACTATATGTGTGTTTAAGTTAAGCAGCAAATCAATCGCTCATTTTAACAAATGTCTATAACTTATTGTTTAAATGATTTTCTATATTATTAATATATTTTTTATCGTTAAAAAACAAATGCAATATAATGACTTATTAATATAATATAAAAAATATTAAAACGACTCAATAAGTGATTAAATAATACTATAATTTATAAAAAATTAATATTATTTTCTTTAATAACAGTAAGAAAATTAAAAAAACTAAATGAAGTATTTTTTGTAACTTAATTATTAACTTTAAAAATATTATTAAAAGTAATAATCACATCATACTGTTTATAATCATTTTTATAAACTAATTATTATATTAATAACAAAACAATATATATAAATATATATACATTTTTTTGGCCACAAATATCTGATTGTATTTTCAGATTTGATGGATGGGTTAAACACAAAACAAAATAATAAACAATTAGTTGGAATATATTTTATTATATTAGACATAAACTAAATAAATGTAAGTTTAGACTCTCAATAACTTCTGACTGCCGGTTAAAATCTCGTAATACAACAAACAAAATCATGTAATACTTAGTATAATATTATTTGTAAATCAGTAAAAGAGAGCAGAATCTAACTTTAATACATTCTAACCTCTTTATATACAACTTATAAGTGAAATATTTTTATATAATTTATATTTTATTAGAAAATGATATATAAATAATAAATACAATGTTTAAAATAAAATAATTAAATATTTTATCATAACTTATGTATTAAAAACAAATAATTAATAAATTAAAACTATATTTTGTTTAATAAATCATTTAAAACATAGTTTATTATTGGAATAGGGTGTCAGATGTGAATGCGGTGTCAGATCTGAATAGGGTGTCAGATGTGAATGCGGTGTCAGATCTGAATAGGGTGTCAGATGTGAATGCGGTGTCAGATCTGAATAGGGTGTCAGATGTGAATGCGGTGTCAGATCTGAATAGGGTGTCAGATGTGAATGCGGTGTCAGATCTGAATAGGGTGTCAGATGTGAATGCGGTGTCAGATCTGAATAGGGTGTCAGATGTGAATGCGGTGTCAGATCTGAATAGGGTGTCAGATGTGAATGCGGTGTCAGATCTGAATAGGGTGTCAGATGTGAATGCGGTGTCAGATCTGAATAGGGTGTCAGATGTGAATGCGGTGTCAGATCTGAATAGGGTGTCAGATGTGAATGCGGTGTCAGATCTGAATAGGGTGTCAGATGTGAATGCGGTGTCAGATCTGAATAGGGTGTCAGATGTGAATGCGGTGTCAGATCTGAATAGGGTGTCAGATGTGAATGCGGTGTCAGATCTGAATAGGGTGTCAGATGTGAATGCGGTGTCAGATCTGAATAGGGTGTCAGATGTGAATGCGGTGTCAGATCTGAATAGGGTGTCAGATGTGAATGCGGTGTCAGATCTGAATAGGGTGTCAGATGTGAATGCGGTGTCAGATCTGAATAGGGTGTCAGATGTGAATGCGGTGTCAGATCTGAATAGGGTGTCAGATGTGAATGCGGTGTCAGATCTGAATAGGGTGTCAGATGTGAATGCGGTGTCAGATCTGAATAGGGTGTCAGATGTGAATGCGGTGTCAGATCTGAATAGGGTGTCAGATGTGAATGCGGTGTCAGATCTGAATAGGGTGTCAGATGTGAATGCGGTGTCAGATCTGAATAGGGTGTCAGATGTGAATGCGGTGTCAGATCTGAATAGGGTGTCAGATGTGAATGCGGTGTCAGATCTGAATAGGGTGTCAGATGTGAATGCGGTGTCAGATCTGAATAGGGTGTCAGATGTGAATGCGGTGTCAGATCTGAATAGGGTGTCAGATGTGAATGCGGTGTCAGATCTGAATAGGGTGTCAGATGTGAATGCGGTGTCAGATCTGAATAGGGTGTCAGATGTGAATGCGGTGTCAGATCTGAATAGGGTGTCAGATGTGAATGCGGTGTCAGATCTGAATAGGGTGTCAGATGTGAATGCGGTGTCAGATCTGAATAGGGTGTCAGATGTGAATGCGGTGTCAGATCTGAATAGGGTGTCAGATGTGAATGCGGTGTCAGATCTGAATAGGGTGTCAGATGTGAATGCGGTGTCAGATCTGAATAGGGTGTCAGATGTGAATGCGGTGTCAGATCTGAATAGGGTGTCAGATGTGAATGCGGTGTCAGATCTGAATAGGGTGTCAGATGTGAATGCGGTGTCAGATCTGAATAGGGTGTCAGATGTGAATGCGGTGTCAGATCTGAATAGGGTGTCAGATGTGAATGCGGTGTCAGATCTGAATAGGGTGTCAGATGTGAATGCGGTGTCAGATCTGAATAGGGTGTCAGATGTGAATGCGGTGTCAGATCTGAATAGGGTGTCAGATCTGAATTGGGTGTCAGATCTGAATAGGGTGTCAGATGTGAATGCGGTGTCAGATCTGAATAGGGTGTCAGATGTGAATGCGGTGTCAGATCTGAATAGGGTGTCAGATGTGAATGCGGTGTCAGATCTGAATAGGGTGTCAGATGTGAATGCGGTGTCAGATCTGAATAGGGTGTCAGATGTGAATGCGGTGTCAGATCTTAATAGGGTGTCAGATGTGAATGCGGTGTCAGATCTGAATAGGGTGTCAGATCTGAATTGGGTGTCAGATCTGAATAGGGTGTCAGATGTGAATGCGGTGTCAGATCTGAATAGGCTGTCAGATGTGAATGCGGTGTCAGATCTGAATAGGGTGTCAGATGTGAATGCGGTGTCAGATCTGAATAGGGTGTCAGATGTGAATGCGGTGTCAGATCTGAATAGGGTGTCAGATGTGAATGCGGTGTCAGATCTGAATAGGGTGTCAGATGTGAATGCGGTGTCAGATCTGAATAGGGTGTCAGATGTGAATGCGGTGTCAGATCTGAATAGGGTGTCAGATGTGAATACGGTGTCAGATCTGAATAGGGTGTCAGATGTGAATGCGGTGTCAGATCTGAATAGGGTGTCAGATGTGAATGCGGTGTCAGATCTGAATAGGGTGTCAGATGTGAATGCGGTGTCAGATCTGAATAGGGTGTCAGATGTGAATGCGGTGTCAGATCTGAATAGCGTGTCAGATGTGAATGCGGTGTCAGATCTGAATAGGGTGTCAGATGTGAATGCGGTGTCAGATCTGAATAGGGTGTCAGATGTGAATGCGGTGTCAGATCTGAATAGGGTGTCAGATCTGAATTGGGTGTCAGATCTGAATAGCGTGTCAGATGTGAATGCGGTGTCAGATCTGAATAGGGTGTCAGATGTGAATGCGGTGTCAGATCTGAATAGGGTGTCAGATGTGAATGCGGTGTCAGATCTGAATAGGGTGTCAGATCTGAATTGGGTGTCAGATCTGAATAGGGTGTCAGATGTGAATGCGGTGTCAGATCTGAATAGGCTGTCAGATGTGAATGCGGTGTCAGATCTGAATAGGGTGTCAGATCTGAATAGGGTGTCAGATGTGAATGCGGTGTCAGATCTGAATAGCGTGTCAGATGTGAATGCGGTGTCAGATCTGAATAGGGTGTCAGATGTGAATGTGGTGTCAGATCTGAATAGGGTGTCAGATGTGAATGCGGTGTCAGATCTGAATAGGGTGTCAGATGTGAATGCGGTGTCAGATCTGAATAGGCTGTCAGATGTGAATGCGGTGTCAGATCTGAATAGGGTGTCAGATGTGAATGCGGTGTCAGATCTGAATAGGGTGTCAGATGTGAATGCGGTTTCAGATCTGAATAGGGTGTCAGATCTGAATTGGGTGTCAGATCTGAATAGGGTGTCAGATGTGAATGCGGTGTCAGATCTGAATAGGGTGTCAGATGTGAATGCGGTGTCAGATCTGAATAGGGTGTCAGATGTGAATGCGGTGTCAGATCTGAATAGGGTGTCAGATGTGAATGCGGTGTCAGATCTTAATAGGGTGTCAGATGTGAATGCGGTGTCAGA